CCCCCAAATAAAGGTGTGGCTGCTTGATGACGTCATCATGAATAGGGGCGGGGCTCGGGGTTTAATGGGGGGGGTTAATGAGGGTTGGGGGGGTTTAATGGGGAGGGGGAACCAGTATGAACCGGTTTGGGACCAACGGGGGACCAGTTTGGCCATTTGCTCCGGGGGGGGCTTTCCCCCCAGGAGGGGCTTTATTTGCCCCAGGGGGGTGAGGGGGGGTTTAGTTGCCCCGGGGGGGGGTTTAGTTGCCCCCACAGCGGCCATTTTGCCCCCAGGGGGGTGGGATTGCCCCCCAGAGGGGTCTCTATTTGCCCCTGGGGGGGTTTATTTACCCCGGAGGGGGGATTTCCCCCCAGGAGGGGCTTTAGTTGCCCTGGGGGGTGATTATTTGCCCCAAAGGGTGGTTATTTACCCCGGGGGGGTGGGATTGTCCCCTGGAGGGTCTTTATTTACCCCATCCAGGGGTCCCAGTACGTCCCAGTTCGGCTCCAGTGGCTCCCAGTATCTCCCAGTCCGGCCCCAGCCTCGCAGTCGGCGGCGCCCCGTTGCCGAGCAACGCCTCGCCCCGCCCCCCCAGGGCCGTCACTCAACGCCGCCGCCCAATCAGGGGCGAGGAAGGGGCGGGGACAGTCTTTATTTACCCCAAAGGGCTGATTATTTGCTCCGGGGGGGGGCTTTCCCCCCAGGAGGGGCTTTATTTGCCTCAGGGGGAGGATTTTCCCCCTGAAGGGTGGTTATTTTCCCCCTGAAGGGTGGTTATTTGCCCCAGGGGGGTGGTTATTTGCCCCAGGGAGGTAATTACTTGCCCCAGGGGGAGGATTTTTCCCCAGAGGGTCTTTATTTTCCCTGGGGGGACAGTTATTTGCCCCAAGGTGTGTGTTTCCCCTCCTGTGTCCCCTTTTGCCCCGGGGGGGTGGGTATTTGCCCCAGGGGGTGGTTATTTTCCAAAGAGAGTGTTATTTGCCCCAGGGTGTGTATCCCCCCCCCGTGTCCCCTTTTGCCCCAAGGGGGTGGTTATTTTCCCTGGGGGGTTGGTTATTTGCCCCAAGGGGTGTGTGTATCCCCCCCCCGTCCCCCTGTTGCCCCGGGGGTGGTTATTTGCCCCATGGTCTGTGTCCCCCTCCCTGTTGCCCCGGGGGGTGGTTATTTGCCCCGGGGGGTGTTTATTTGCCCCATGGTGTGTGTCCCCCCCCCCAGCTCCGCCTGAACAGCATCAAGAAGCTGTCCACAATCGCGCTGGCGCTGGGGGTGGAGCGCACCCGGAGCGAGCTGCTGCCCTTCCTCACCGGTAACGG